CTTGTCTTCTTCTTCCTTCTTATCTTCCTTGTCATCCCCTTCCCTTTCCACACGGTATGTCTCTTGTGTCATGACATCACCTAGTACTTAGTTGGGGGTGATATCCTTTAATCCTCCTCTTATGATAAGCAATCTTAACATCTCAAACCTTGGAGGTAGGCACATCAAGAATCGATGAGAGACATCATCATCCTTGATCTTCTCTCCCAAGGCTTTCAAGTCATTGACAATCACTTGTAATCGATGGAACATCTCCGGAATGCTCTCATCTTCCTTCATCTTGAAGCTTGTCAACTTGTCTTTGAGAATATACAACTTGGCACTCTTCACCACCGGTGTGCCCTCATATGTTTCCTCCAATCTCCTCCACACTTCATTTGCTCTTTCACAATCTTTGATTTGCTCAAACACCTTTGGATCAATGGCATTGTATAAGGTATTGAGGGTCATTGTATTGCATTGCTTGTTGGACTTATCTTGGTTGGTGGGATTGTCGGGATCAATGATAGCATAATCATTCTCGATTACATCCCATACTTGATCATTGATTAAACCAAGATACACACTTATCTTTCTCTTCCAATAACCATAGCTTGTGCCATCAAAGAAAGGTGGTTTGCCCCCCACATGGTTGAACACAACTTGAGCCATAATTTGACACCGAGGTTGTTAAGCCTTTAATCACACGGTGACCACGGCTCTGATACCACTTGAAAGGTCCTAATATGGCTAGAGGGGGGTGAATAGCCTATTTGAAAACTACAAATCAACTAGAGCAATTTGATTAGTATGACAAATGGCGTAATGCAAACTTGCTCTAGCTCTACAAGCGTTGCAAGCCACCTATCCAACAATTCTAGTTGCAATGATTACTTAGGCACACAAACTTGCTATGTAACTACTCACTAAGAGCTCTCAATCTTGCTACTCTAAAGAGCTCAACTAGATGAATGTAAATAATGAAGCAAGCTCTCAATTCTAATTACACTAAAGAGCTTGTATCAACTAGTTTGCAAGAAAGTAAATAAGTGAGTAGGGTGATTATACCACCGTGTAGGGGATGAACCAATCACAAGATGAATATATATCCAATCACCGGGAGAATGCCAAAGACAAGAGACACTCGATTTTCTACCGAGGTTCACGTGCTTGCCAACACGCTACGTCCCTGTTGTGTCGACCAACACTTGGTGGTTCGGCGGCTAAGAGATGTTCCACAAACCTCGTCCACATGATAGGACACCGCAAGAACCGACTCACAAGTGAGGTAACTCAATGACACGAGCAATTTACTAGAGTTACCTTTCGGCACTCCGCCGGGGAAGGTACAACTCCCCTTACAATCACCGGCGATGGCCACGAACAATCACCAACTCGTTCCAATCCTCCACCGCTGCTCCAAGCCGTCTAGGTGGTGGCAACCACCAAGAGAAATAAGCGAAATCCACAGCGCAACACGAATGCCAAGTGCCTCTAGATGCAATCCCTCAAGCAATGCACTTGGATTCTCTCCCAATCTCACAATGATGATGGATCAATGATGGAGATGAGTGGGAGAACTTTTGCTAAGCTCACAAGTATGCTAGGTTCATGAAAATGCTAGATGGTGAGCTTGAGCCGGCCATGGGGCTTAAATAGAAGCCCCCACGAAATAGAGCCGTTATATCCCTTCACTGGGCAAAACGCGTGCTGACCGAACGCACCGATCATTCTGACCGGACCCTGGACCAGCGTCCGGTCCACAGATGTAAGTCACGTGTCATTCTGATTTCAAACTGAGCCGCCAAATCACAATGGCTATATTCTAACCAGACGCTCTGGCAAAACTGATCGGACGCTCAACCCCAGCGTCCGGTCGTTTACAGTAAGGTCCCAAACCGGGTTTTCTTCGACCAGACGCGTCCGGTCCTCCTCGACCGGACACAGAATAGCGTCCGGTGTAATATCCTAGACACAGTGCTGACTCGTCAGTTCGACCGGACCTAGACATTTAGCGTCCGGTCAATTTAGACCCAGCGTCCGGTGCATCACCGACACTGGCGTCTTCTCTGCCACGCCTGACCGGACGCGCCGGTCCACCCAAGAGCAGCGTCTAGTCACAGTGAAAACAGTGAGACTGAGTTCCTTTCTTCTCTATCTCCTTCACCCTTGCTCAAATGTGCTAGCCACCAAGTGTATCACCTTGTGCACATGTGTTAGCATATTTTCACAAACATTTTCAAGGGTGTTAGTGATCCACTAGATCCTAAATGCATATGCAATGAGTTAGAACATCTAGTGGTACTTTGACAACCGCATTTCGATACGAGTTTCACTCCTCTTAATAGTACGGTTATCTATCCTAAATGTGATCACACTCGTTAAGTGTCTCGATCACTAAAATAAAATGGCTCCTACAGTTTATACCTTTGCCTTGAGCCTTTTGTTTTTCTCTTTTTTCTTTTCTAAGTTTAAGCATTTGATCATCACCATGCCATTGTCATCGTCATGATCTTCGCCATTTCTTCATCACTTGGAGTAGTGCTACCTATCTCATAATCACTTTGATAAACTAGGTTAGCACTTAGGGTTTCATCAATTAACCAAAACCAAACTAGAGCTTTCATAAATGCTCTGCCATAAGTTTATGATTGTAAGTTGGACCATAGGAAGACCCACATAAGATGAATCTTTCTAGCCACATATTCAGAAAAGCCACATATTCTCTTTCGCTAATAGCTGGTCCGTCTCCAATATGGTTTAGAATATAGCTTGTCCATCCTGTGTAGTCTGATATTTTGGCTAGTTTCTTGGAACCAACACTTAAATAATCATAAGGTTGCACTGATCCAGTTATTTTAAGGCCGGTCAATATATAAACATCGGCTAAAGTGATAGTCATTGGACCGTGACAAAAAACGAAAGCATTCAGGGTATTGGACCAGAAATAAGATGCAGAAATTAGGAGTGAATCGTTCCTCTTCATTCCAGACAACGAAAGTGTCAAGCATTGATTCAAGTCATAAATCTTCCAATCTCTAGCTTTTTTCTCGAATACCCTACGAAACCAGTCTCTCCACCCCCTAGGCATTTTGGGTCAGTTCCTGAAGGGAGTTTTGATGTTCTAGGAAGGCGAATCCACTACAGATTATTGGAAGGAGATTTGGTTGATTTCTTGACGGATAAAATTAGATGGATTAGGGTCATCCATAGGCCCAAGAAAACAGACATTGGAAGTAACAGCCGATGGAATCAAGATTCCGTTCTCCATTTCCTAGAAATCAGATAAAATAAATTTGAGAATAAGGGAAATGCATGGGAGTGACCGATACTTGGAGAATGGGAACTTGAAAGCATACCTCAGGGACGTCGGCCGATAAAATAAAAGTTTGATAGGGCAGAGAATTTGGTAGAGTTGAGGCTTTGGCGATGACGGTGTCGGCTGTTAAGATTTGCTCGAGAAAGAAGGGGAAAGCAAATGGCCCGAGTGAGTTGAAAAAGATACCGTTGGGATATTATATAAAACTCGGACCGAGAAGTCAGGAGTCACGCGTATATCTTAGAATAAAACGGCTGCGATGTGGTGAACAGGTAAATAGGAATTTTAGAATAAAATCATTTTTATCCCAAAATTAGGGGGGCATGTGTTTACACCAAAATTTTGGAAGAAAAACGCGGGAACTCGAAGCTTCTAAAATCGTGTCAATCAAGAAATCGATTGCGTAAGGATCGATATCAACTAATTCAGATGCGGCACTGGAATCGGCTCTCTTCGAATGACGTCAGCAGATAACGACAATGAGTTACGGTTGGCGTCAGGAAATACATGACGGACTCTAAAAAAGAGAAAGATTAGGGTCCAAGTTATCTTAAGTTAGAAATGTTTTCTTTTATACTAAATATTGTAATGGGTCGTACTTGAGTAGGATTCATGCTTAGGCTCTGGGTATACTAAACAGTCGATTTGTTCACATGTTATATCATTTCTCGTTAGGTTCATCGGCTCAATGCTTCACAATGGTAATATCCACCTAGCTGATGATTTTACTTACATCTGCGTGCATTATACTTGTCAATATAAAATCAATCGCAACCCACGAGCTTCACAGTCCATAACAGCCGATTTCTTCACGTATCGGCTATTTAGTCGATTTTTCCCGTCTGGCTGCTCCCGAAGCGGCACACTTGGAACTGTCTGTGCAAGACCGGCATATTCCACCTTAAATTACTGATAAACTTTCTCTCCTTGTCAATTGCAGGTCAAATTGACTGGCACGCCTTAGGAGGAATTCGCAGGGTCGACGGGTCCTGCGATTAAAGCCAAGCGGATCTCCGGGCTCATCCTAAGCAAATTCTTCTGGCTTACTGTGTGCCTCGACGCGCTCACACGTTTTTGCGCCAAAAAATACCTTCATGAGATTGGGGGTATAGCCTGCAATTCTGAGTTCACATCACCCTTTTAAAGCTGGCAACAAGTCCTTTATCGTATGTTCCCTTCCAGATTTCCAAGCATAGATAATAGGCTCGGTTCTACCTAGAAAAAGGCTAACCTCATGTCGCCGTATCCATCGCAGTAGTAGGCCCCTCCCTCTCTGCACGCCCAGGAGGCCCTCCTGGTTGAGCGCGGCACATCTAGTTAATTAGTCTGAATCCCTCTATATATAATTAATTAACAGATGAAACTGAAATTTGTTGGAGCCATCCCAAAATAATTTGCAGGGTCCCCAAACCTCTTAATCAAATAGTACATGCTGAACCTCAGATTAAAACCTTTTTTTGCAAACATTAATGTAGGTTGAATGTGATATTGGCTCTCGTCGCCCAAACTTTTATACACATCTTTGCCTTTATTCGAAGCAGAAATCTGTACAAAATGAGAATACGCAATCAGTTTCCTTAAATTGTCAGATTTTGTATGATATTGTTAGTTTTCTGACAAATGGCAATTGGGAGAAACACACATTATAGCTGAAGCTATATAAATGGTGGGAAAAACAAAAACATACAAAATGTCAGAAACAATGGCCACGGGGAAGGGCACCAGGTAGCAGTTGTTCACGAAGTCGTTGCTGCCGACGAGGAAGGCACGCTGCGTGCGCGAGGTGGCTGAATCGCCGCCGCCTCCTTCTGGCTGTCCGGCTGTCCCCATGGGCGCGAGCCGTGCCCATGACTTAGAGTCGCTTTGCTTGTCCGGCTTCCCACACCACTGCCGCCTCCTTCGTCCCTAGTCGAGCCTCGGGCTCCTTTGTAGAACATGAATTAACCGCATAAATCACATATGTCAAGCATACCAATTGATATACTCATCAGATATTATCTAAACATTCAATGCTTGAGCAAAAATCTCTACCGTGGAGGAGGAAGAGGAGGCGACCATGGAGATGGAACCGCTCTCCGGCTGCGCAGGCGGTAGCGGCGGCGGCGGCGACGAGTCTCTTCTGCTTGGGCGGGTGGATCTTGTTTCGGCGCTCCCTGGCCTCCCTGAGGATCTTCTCGGCCGTAATCTGGATCGGCGCAGGGCATAGGACGGCTTTGCCGGATACCGCTGCCGGCGCCGCACCATGTCCGGGCAGGGCCATCGCAGCTGAATCGAAGGGCCCCTTCCCCGTTGAATCCGCCCTGCTCGTGCCGGAATGGAGGCGTGGTGGGGGCAGCCGGCGTCGTGGGGAGACGAAGCGGTGGATGGCGTCGTGCGCGGACGGCAGTTCCGTGGCAGAGAGACCGTGGCTGGGCGAAGCGCGCAGGCGGCGGTATTTAGCGGGGCAGTTAGCGCGGCTAAGCGGAGATAAGCGGGGCTAAAACGATGCCATTTGGGTCGTTTTAGTTGTAGAGATTAAGCTGTTTTCACCCCGAGCTTAGCGTGGACGCGTGTGACAAAATGAGTTTACGGACGTGGACGTTACAGTAGCTAGTTTGTTCTCAAGACTTTCCGCTCACCAAATCAAAACGGCCTGTATGTATGTTGTTGCCATCAAGCTAGCAACCACACCGGCCGGCATCAGACACGCACACGCCTATATATCGCAGCACCCTCAGGAACCCTCTCCAGAAACTCACACAGCTAGTGCACTCACAAGCCAAGGCCAAGCCGCCACCACCACCTTTCTTTGCCCAGCAGCCTACGCCAACACCATCCATGAGCGCCATGGACACCGCCGTCTGGCAAAACGCCACGGTTGCTGCTGCGGCGGCGGCCGGTGCCGGCAGCGGCGGACTGGCGGGCCTGCTCCCGGAGGTGCAGACGGTGGAGCTGCTGGTGGCCGCGTCCATCTTCGTGGCCATCCACTGCTGCGGCAGCGGCGCACGCAGGGGTTGCCGACGTGGCCGCTCGTGGGCATGCTCCCGTCCCTGCTCCTGGGCATCCGCAGCGACATGTACGAGTGGATCACGGGCGTGCTCAAAGGCGCGCTGCGGCACGTTCACGTTCCGCGGGCCGTGGTTCACCAACCTCCAGTGCGTGGTCACCGCCGACCCGCGCAACCTGGAGCACCTCCTCAAGACCAGGTTCGGGAGCTTCCCCAAGGGCCCCTACTTCCGCGACACCGTGGGGGACCTCCTCGGCGATGGCATCTTCGGCGCCGACGACGAGGTGTGGAGGCGGCAGCGCAAGGCGGCCAGCCTCGAGTTCCACTCCGCCGAGTTCCGCGCGCTCACGGCCAGCCTGCTCGTCGAGCTCGTGCACCGCCGGCTGCTCCCCGTGCTGGCTGACGCCGAGGCCACCACCGGCGCCGTCGACCTCCAGGACGTGCTCCTCCGCCTCACGTTCGACAACGTCTGCATGATCGCCTTCGGCGTCGACCCGGGCTGCCTCCGCCCGGGCCTCCCTGGAGATCCCGTTCGCCCGGGCGTTCGAGGACGCCACCGAGGCCACTACCATCCGCTTCATCACGCCCACCGCGGTGTGGCGCGCGATGCGCGCGCTCGGCGTCGGGCACGAGCGCGCGTGCTCCAGCGCTGCCTGGCCGGCGTCGACGAGTTCGCGTACGACGTGATCCGCAGGCGCAAGGAGGAGCTCGCCGCCGAGGCCGCAGCCACCGCCGAGGCGGCCGGGCGCAGCAGGTCGGACTTGCTCACCGTGTTCACCAAGATGCGCGACGAGGACGGGCGCCCGTACACGGACAAGTTCCTCCGCGACATCTGCGTCAACTTCATCCTGGCTGGGCGCGACACCTCGTCGGTGGCGCTCGCGTGGTTCTTCTGGCTGCTCGGCAGGAACCCCGGCGTGGAGGCCAAGATCGTGGAGGAGATCGAGGGATGGTGGCGGCGCGGAAGGAGGCAGGCAGGGAGGTCGAGGAGGAGGAGCTGGTGTTCAGGCCCGAGGAGGTGAAGCGGATGGAGTACCTCCACGCCGCGCTCTCCGAGGCGCTCCGCCTCTACCCGTCCGTCCCCGTCGACCACAAGGAGGTACGCAAGCACGCCCATACTGAAACCATGCATGCCCGTACAAACTGTATTATTCATCGACATATGCATGTGCTTGATAGACTACACTAGATTATACAACAACATAATAAGATCTTAAGGCCATGTTTGAAATTCCTGTATTCTAAACAAGCGTATGTTCTTTTTTAGAACGTAGCTGAACAAACATAATGAAAAACAAGAGCGAGTGTGGCAAATAAAAGGAGCACGCGTTCTACATTTTGGATGGAGGAGTGCTTCGGTCTTGTATTGCCGTGGTCGTCGTTCGGTGAAACTAACTCGTCCTTGTAGTGCCGAGTCCCAAGTGTGTGAGTAGATGGCTCTGTCTGCATGTGAGCTAGGTACGGGTACGGCTTGGAAGATGCAATCTACATGAATTGCAAAAGTAGAAGCTGCCCACACCAATTCCCCTGGGCACTAGAAAACAAGAAATGAAATAGACTGGTTGTCGTGCTAGGAAATTTGATTGGAATCCATGGTAAAGTGAAAATAGTGACACCAATGGTACAAAGAGATTTGCATCCTACACCAACACAATAGTGAGAGTTGATATATTTCAGGTGCCTGAATTTTTAGTCAACAATCTTACACAATAAACTAGTGCAATTAAAAGGACAATTGACAAAACATAATTTTAATTTTAAACAATGATAAAATTGCATGCATGTTATCTGAACAACAACAAAAGATCAAGCATTTGACATATAGAAGTGCACAATAAAACAATGCCATGAGGAGGAAATCTGAGGTTGATTTCTTGATATATATGGTGGGGGTGTTAGTAGTACCAAAATGAGTTGATAGAGTCTTGTCACTGTGTTACACTGATACTCCTCTGCATGCACTAGATCCTCTACAGTTGGAAGCTGGCCAGCTGCATCATGCACGGAACTAATGATAGGCTGATTCTGATTGGGTGATGGGTTCAACACATCTTGAAGTTGATGTGCCGTGAGAGAGGAGAAAAAAAAGGGACGTGGGCAGGAGTTTAGGTTGCAAGTTGGTCATCTAGACGTTGCCTACATGTTCTTTGGGGTGTATATTGTCGGTGAAGACTTGAAGACCTGATAAAGACGCCTGTTATTGGGCCAATTTTCAGTTACAGTCAGTAGCTGCACCCATCTTACTCGTTTATAACTACCCCTTTATTGAAAATGAATACATTTGGGGGGAAATAACTTAGACTCGTAAAGGTGATTTACTTATTTGCAACAAGTAAATCTAAGAGTAGCTACTCCTACTACCTTGTAAGTAGTAGGTTGCTAATTGGTGCACCAGATCACCGATAACTAAATCAAGTAAGCTTAATTTTGTATTGTGCAAATAGGACTTCAATTTGAGACCATATGTCTGTATTGAAATATTGATAACAATTACTAATTTTCCTCAAAATAACAATTGCTAATTCCAGTACTGATGCAATACGCTGACAGGTCGTGGAGGACGAGGTGTTCCCGGACGGGACGGTGCTGAAGAAGGGCACCAAGGTGATCTACGCCATGTACTCCATGGGGCGGATGGAGAGCATCTGGGGCGACGACTGCCGGGAGTACAAGCCGGAGCGGTGGCTCCGGGACGGCCGCTTCATGAGCGAGTCCGCCTACAAGTTCACCTGCCTTCAACGGCGGGCCGCGCCTGTGCCTCGGCAAGGACTTCGCCTACTACCAGATGAAGTTTGCCGCCGCCTCCATCCTACACCGCTACCGCGTCCACGTCGTCGAGGGCCACCCCGTCGCGCCCAAGCTGGCGCTCACCATGTACATGAAGCACGGGCTCAAGGTGACGCTGACCAAGAGAGACAAGACCAAGCTCTGAGCTGTGGTGCCGACTGCCGAGCCTGCTGCCAATGATGAGGCTCAGAGACTGAAGAAAGACATGGAAGCAGCAGGACTCTTCGCTGTGCCACTTTGTGTGAGTGGAAGCTGGTGCTGATGTGGAACAAGATTTCTGTGTTTTCATTTTGTCTCTTTCTTTGTAGTCTATATATACTGTTATTATGTACTTCATTTGTTTCGTTTATATGTAGTATAGAACTTCTGCGTTATGTATAAATGTATATGTATGTGTGTGATGGCCAGATACTCAACCTTCAGGTGATGTAACCGGTATATTGTAGCAGCATTATTTCAGTACAACAGCAGCAAGATGCCATGGCATCTGTTTGAATAAATTTGCAGGTACATCAACTGCACTCCAGTGCCATCTAGGACCTACTTGGACATGGCAAAGTACTCCAGCTCCAGTGGCATACACGAAATTGCTAGTGGGTTGACTGCTTATCACAGGACCGTATGATTGTTCAGCCAATCTAATAGGCTTTGCATTGTTCATTTGCCTGACTTCACAGCAGAAAATAGGTCAGGTAGACGAACATCATCATGGGTTGTTGAGAAATGGTTGGCCAACTGCACTCTCACACAAGCCCAAAACCTGGTTGTTCAACCTCAACCCCTGCCACTCCACTCTTCGTAGAATTCAGCCACAAAGTCCTCCATGAACTTATGCCTTTTCTCAGCTCTCCTTCTCCCGGCCTATGCACACAGTGAACTAGGGAATGAGTGTATTTCTGGGTAAACCTAGCCTGGTACTATGATACACGCATAAAAATAGCCTGATACTATGATACAATAATAAAAAATCGAATAGGGAACAAATAACAGGCGACTGTTAATCATGACATCAATACACGCTAACAGGAGTAGGACTAAGCAAATCTAATTCCCACAAATTATGTGCATAATAAATGAAGCAAAGTAGCAAACTAATTTCCCCCAAACAGAAAAATGAAGCGAACTAGACCAAAAATCACTCTACAACTCTTAATAGGTTCATTAGGTGTACATGTATCACAAATTATGTGCTTTCTTCCTGAATTTATACAAGATGAACGTGCAGCAGTCACAAGACTTCTATTAAAAAGATGAATAATTACCTCTGTCTTCATCATGTCCTTCAGTTTAAAAAGCTTCTCGTGAAAATGATTGATTGATGTCTGATTCTCTTCCTTGGACATGTACTTTTCCTTTGACAAGTTATCACGTGGAAGAATTCTAGGATCATGTAATGCGCTGTTCTTGCTCCCACCATATGTAAAACATCTTGCAATACCTACATGTATCACATGAGAAGGCTAAACACAGAGTTCTTATTTGAACTACAAAGGTAGCCAAAATATGTGTATCTTTGGTTTTCTTTCCCCATATAATGCATATAAGTAGAAAATTTATAAGCACTTATTGGGTCAAGACAACAAGAAAACTAGTAGAGAACAATAGCAGAGGTTTCATCTTATATTTTCCCTGCTTTAGCTCTTCTAGCCATCTTCAAGTTTAAGAGTTGCATAAGTTAATATACATTCGCATCTACATGCTACCAGG